TCACCTGTTGCAGACATGGAAACCCTGCGCAAGCCTCGCTCATCGTCTCGGCCCTCCAACAGCCTGGACCCTGTATCTTTACTGGACCCTGCAGAAGAGTTGTGCAAAGGGTGCCCTGGAAGCAACCGAAAGTCAGGCGGTATCCATTGAGTTGGGATGGAGAACGAAGGGTTCGGTCTACACAAGAGAAAGTCCACCACATTCTAGACCTCTGTGAGACATGCACATGGACCCACGCTCCATTTGAGTTGCGCAGATATGACCGTAGCCTCCCATTTTGGGCACCAAGCCAAAGCTGCCGTGTTGGAAATCTGCCACTCAACCAAGCGCCCAGCTTCTGACGCGCACCCTGCATCTTGCGAGGACAGCGCTGCCCACATGGCCCAAGCAAATCAAGGAGGGCAGACAGCGAAAGGGTTTTGCTGAAGGTCACGTGAGTGCCTGCTGCAAGCTTTATGACCCGCACACACCGCGGCAAACCCTGCGCAAGCCTCGCTCATCGTCAGCTAGATTTATCGGCCTTCCAACAGCCTGGACCCTGTACCAACACTGGACCCTGCGGAAGAGTTGTGCAAAGGGTGCCCTGGAAGCGACCGAAAGTCAGGCGGTATCCATTGAGGACGTGGAGAACGAGGGGTTCGGTCTACAAGTCTCGCCTGTCAGAAACTCCACCACATTCCAGAGCCGAAGTCAATATTTCGTGCCTGGAGGACTCTTTGATACACAAAAAAGTGCTCCAAACAGCTTTTGGCATTCGAGCGTCTTTTTCTGCTCAAATCCAATTCGAGCACTTTTTGAGGTTGCCTAGATGCTTGGTCAAGTGCTCGAGAAAACGAACCCGCAACTCGAGCGCAATTTCCCGCTACTCGGGCGCAAATTTCCGCAACTCGGGCGCAATTCCAAAAAGTGTGCACAGCCAAAGCTCCGCCCCGCAATCTGTGCGTTTGCATGTGTTTGCATTTCCCGTTACTCGCGCACTTATGTGCTACGAGAGCTCGAGCAAACATTTGTGTATCAATGGGTCCTGCAGGTGGCCTGGAATTTGCGAAGTTGCGAAAGTGAGCGCTGGTGCAGACAGGTAATCTCTGCGAGCGAAGCACATGGACCCACGTTCCGAAAGTTGCGCAGTTCTAAGCCAAAGCTGCCGTGTGGGAATTCTGCCACTCAACCAAGCGCCCAGCTCCTCCCATGCAGAACCCAAAGTGCTAGGAAACAACCCAAAGTGCAGAACCCAGAGCCGTTTCGTGGCCTAGAATTTGCGAAAATCAGACAGGTAACCTCTGTGAGACATGCACATGGACCCACGTTCCATTTTGAGTTGCGCAGTTATGACCGTAGCCTCCCATTTGGGAACCAAGCCAAAGCTGCCGTGATAGAAATCTGCCACTCAACCAAGCGCCCAGCTTCTAGCGCACCCTGCATCTTGCGAGGACAGCCCAATCGCCCAGCTTCTAGCGCGCTCTCTGCATCTTGCGAGCATGTCCCAAGCAAATCAAACAGGGCAAACAGCCTTGCCAGGGGTCGGAAAGGGTTTCGCTGAAGGTCACGTGAGTGCCTGCTGCAAGCTTTATGACCCGCACACACAGCGGCAAACCCTGCGCAAGCCTCGCTCATCGTCAGCTAGATTTATCGGCCTTCCAACAGCCTGGACCCTGTACCAACACTGGACCCTGCGGAAGAGTTGTGCAAAGGGTGCCCTGGAAGCGACCGAAAGTCAGGCGGTATCCATTGAGTTGGGACGTGGAGAACGAGGGGTTCGGTCTACAAGTCTCGCCTGTCAGAAACTCCACCACATTCCAGAGCCGAAGTCAATATTTTGTGCCTAGAATTTGCGAAGTTGCGAAAGTGAGCGCTGGTGCAGACAGGTAATCTCTGCGAGCGAAGCACATGGACCCACGTTCCGAAAGTTGCGCAGTTCTAAGCCAAAGCTGCCGTGTGGAAATTCTGCCACTCAACCAAGCGCCCAGCTTCTCCCATGCAGAACCCAAAGTGCTAGGAAACAACCCAAAGTCGCCATGGAGCCCAGCCGTTTTTTTCGGGGCTTAGATATTTGCGAACTTCCCGACCAGGTAACTCGGTGAGGACATGCACATGGGACCAGTTCCGATTTTGAGTTGGCAGTTATGGACCGTAGCTCCCATTTGGGCACAAGCCAAAGCTGCCCTCACAGACCCAGGCACCACAATCATCCCAAGCACCAGAGGCTCTGCCAACCGCTGCATTCTTGGCTAATTGAGTTGAGGAGCACGCGCTTCTCTTGGACCCCACATTGTCCAAGCAAATATCAAGGAGGGCATACTGCATTGCCAGGGGTCGGATATATGGGTTTTCGCTTCTGAAGGTCTCGTGTGTGGCCTGCTGCAAGTCTTTATGAGCCGCACCACACCGCGGCAAAATCCACGCGCCATCGGCTCGCTCTTCGTCTCGGCCTGAAACGCCTGCAGAACCCTGTATCAAACTGGACCCTGCGGAAGAGTTGTGCAAAGGGTGCCCTGGAAGCGACCGAAAGTCAGGCGGTATCCATTGAGTTGGGACGTGGAGAACAGAAACGCCACCACATTCTAGAGCCATTTCGTGGCCTTACTCATCGTCAGCAGCAGTCAAACAGCCTTTCCCCAGTGCATGCTAAGGTTGGCCATCGCTAGCTTGCCAGCTCGGGTACCTGATGCACTTTCTTGGTTGGATCACCGGCCAGATAAAAACAACAAAGTAAATGGTATATGGGTGTGTCCGAGCCTGCAAACAAAGCTGCCTGTCACGGATTGACAACGCGCTTCTTGCAGTGTATGGTGGGGGCCGAGAATGGTCGTTAAAGGTCATGTGAGAGCCTCCTGCTGGCTTTACGACCGAAGCGAATGCTGTGGCAAATCCCACACAATCCATGCATGTTGGTCATACTACTAACGTTCAACTGAAGGCCTCTCAGTCCGATAATCACGCCAAATCACGCCAAGTCACGCTCAATCACACCCAATCACGGCATCCGACAACGTCATACGTTCCGGAACGCCTGCTCTGTTTGGCAAACATTCGGGCCAAATGTATGCAAAGTTGGGATACATTCATGTATTACCTTGATTTGGCGTGATTTAACGTGAGTTGCTCGCTTGAGAATTACACCAACATTTTGGACGTATGCCTCTCAAAGCAACATTGGCCTTGTAAAGCCTAATGTTCCTTCTCAGGGCAACGCTCGCGAATGTTGGCAAACTTACTTTTTTTGGCAGCCGTCACACCGTGGGATAAACCACATCCGAAACCCACTGAGCAGTGAAACCACCGCCAAAGAGTCAACTGCATGGATCTAAGGCTTATATCACCTGTTGCAGACATGGAAACGCTTGCGCGGCTGCCAAGCCTTGCGAAAGTTGAATGGGCTTCAATGCGCACTTTTGCTGAAGCAACACTGTTGCAATTCCTGCGAAAGCCTTGCGGCCCCAGTCAGCTTTGCTTGGGGCTGCTCATCAGCAGAAGAGCCGTGAATCATCAGCAGCGGGGGTTGCAAAGGTCCCAATTCCTTGCTTTCAGTTGCGCAGTCACGACCGCTTCCCATGCTCGGCACTAAGCCAGAGCAGCCGTGGAATTCTGCCACTCAGCCAAGCGCCCAACTCAAAGAGGGCAAGGGCCTGGAAAGGCATGTGTTTGCTGAAGGTCACGTGAATGCCTGCTGCAGGCTTTACGACCCGTGGCACGCTCGAAGCCAATGCCGCAGCACTAAATCTGCACCTGGAGAGGTCTATATGCAAATGTTTTCGAGTACATGGAGAATCCACCAGCATCGCTGCGAAAGCCTTTCGGCCCCAGTCAGCTTCGCTGGAGGCTGCTCATCATCAGCAGGGGTCGTCGCAGATTTATCGGCTTGCAGCCAACAGCCTTGCCTGTCAATGCTAATCTGGCCATGCAGAAGCTCGGGTGCCCAAGCTGACTCCACATACACCTAAATCTGCACCTGGAGAGGTCTATATGCAAATGTTTTCGAGTACATGGAGAATCCACCAGCATGGCTGCGAAAGCCTTTCGGCCCCAGTCAGCTTCGCTGGAGGCTGCTCATCATCAGCAGGGGCTGGCTGCGAAAGCCTTTCGGCCCCAGTCAGCTTCGCTGGAGGCTGCTCATCATCAGCAGGGGCGGTCGCAGATTTATCGGCCGCTGTCCAACAGCCTTGCCTCCAGTCAATGCTAATCTGGCCACGTGCCAGCTCGGGTGCCCATGGTGTGCAGCCCTGCCTAGAGTCGATTGCCTGGCAGGCCTTGCCAGGGTGGTTTTTGGAGTTTGATGATTGGAAGCATTGGGCCTGGGAGTCCCAGCTTCCTTCTTGTTTGCTTGGTGAGTCGCAACTCTGCTGTTTTGGTCAGGTTGCCTGCCTGGTAGGCTGGGACTCCACATGCACCTACATCTGCACACCTCGGAGAGGTCCATGTACACCTGTCCAAGTACATGCAGAATCGGCCAAAATTGAGCTGGCAAGCGAAGCTGCCTCTCACAGTTTGACAATCCGCATCCAGCGGCGCGCGGGGCCAAGCAAGGTCTTCGTGAAAGGTCACGCGAGTGCTTCCTGCTAGCCTAACACGTCTCGGAAAGCGCCGTACTTATCATCGGTGCGGAAGCCTTGGCCCACATCCTGTCCACTGGATGGGAGGCGGTAAGTTCGTTGAGCCGAACTACGCACCTCAAAAGGCTGCCAGGAAAGCTGCCACGGCCTGGAAAAGTGTTCACTGCGGATCAGGGTGTTGTTTGTTTCTATTGTCGCGCCCCATGGTACTCCCTGCATTCAGAACCCTTCGTCCCCCGTTGCCGTTTTACCATGGGCGCTGATGCGATTGAACCGATGGTACAAATATCCCAAGCTTGGATGGGAAGGCGGGCTAACCTTATGTGCGCAATCTGCATAATGCTGAAGCCCCTCAGTCACGACTGGCGTTGGCAGCCAGCAATCAATTGGCTTCAGTGAAGGCCTGTCAGCCACTCACGTCGGTCTTGCCTTTGGAGGGACAAATCAGCCCTAAAAATCGGCTATGAGAGGAACATCGGCATGAACTGATTGCAAGCAACAAGGGGGACAATCGCTTTTGGCAAGGCTGTTGTTGTTGGACTCCCCTGCTGTGATGTGGGTTGAACCCCACATCGCGTGTGTTGCGTCGACATGGGTCCCAAAAGGCTCAATCTGCACTGCGTCCTTGCTGCAACGCTGGAGAGGCGTGATTTGCATCAGCCTGTGCGTGCCCCAGCTTTCGGCAATGCCTGGCAAAAAAAGGCTTACTTCTAAATTGTCGTCTTGATTCACGGTGTGTATGTGAACCATCCATTCATTGAATCATCGGATGTGCCTCAGCGGCGCCAAGTTCGTTCTTGGATTGCCCCTGGTGGTAGGACAACGCTTCTACTTCAAGTGGGGCGGCCACATCTTGTTCCATCGAAGTCGGTGTCAATGACAAATTGCGAGATATGATTTTAGCTGCTAGCTGGTTCAGCATGGCGATGAAGCGCCGGAGGTCGGACTAGTGATTTTGCTTGCGAACCAAGATGCGGGCCGCGTGTGCAAAACATGAAGCAAACGTCAAAGTACTTCTATATTCATGTCTATGTATACATCCGCCGATAACAGACGGCGCGTTCCCCTTACCCCTCCCCAGGGCCCCGGTTTTGAAACCGGGGGGGGCAGCGGCCACGTTCCACTAAATCCTTTTTTGGGGGGCTGTGCGGGACAGAGTTGCGTAAAACCATTGGGGTGATCGATTCCATCCTTAGCATCTCCTGGGCAACATCGCTGGCGTCGCCTGTATCATCCAGGTCTGGGGGGGGGAAAGTTGGAAAACGATCTCAAGGGGTGTAAGAGGGGACAAGATCCGAAAGGGGGGAGGGAGGGAAAGACCTTAGAAAAGAAAAGGCGGGAAAAGATCTGAGGCGGGAAATCGGGGGGAACAGATCTTAGGAGGGAAAAGGGTGGAAAAGATCTTATAAGCGGGTGGAATGGAAAAGATGGGTGCAAAAGATTTTAGGGGTGGAAAAGGCGGGAACCGATCTTAGGGGGGGTGAAATCTTAGGGGGGGGGGACGATCTTCGTGGGTGAAAGGGAAAATACTAAAAGGGGGGGAAGGGGGGAAGATCTGAGAGGGCAAGGGGGGCACAAAGATGGGGGGGCCTCAGGGAAGGAAAGGGGGGAAAAGGCCTGGATCTCAACAGGGAAAGGGGGGAAATGATCTTAGAGGGTGAGGGGCAAGGGGGGGGGGAAGATCTTAGAGGGAGGGGGCGAAGACTTCCACGGGAATCCAAAGGAAAACTTCCAATGGGACAAACCCAAAAGGACGCAAATAAGAAGCGGGCCCGCAATGTCGGCAGCCTGAGCCGGAGGCGTTTAAATATATATATATATATACATGAATATATACATATATGTATATGTATATATATCAATATATTTATATATTTATACTGTGTATTGGGCCCTCCCCGAATGACCTACCTTTTGCGCATCAAGCCTTTGAATATACATGTATCACTATACATGCATCATAAGCAAGAAGTATGTTTCCACCTTGGTTGAAAGCTTGTGTTACAGGATCCTCAAAAGGGTCCTGCAACAAAATCCTGTCAAGATCCTGCAAAAGACTTCAGACATAAAGGTTCAAGAAATGTTGCGTAAGCAGATCTTGCACAGAAGTTTCTGGAAGGATCGAGTTGCTTCAAGTCGATCATTGGAATCAGCAAGTCGGTTCCAAACCTCACCTCCCGCGTAACTTGGAGAACCAAACTTCGCGCTTGCCACTGAGCTAGTTTTCGCGGTGGTGCTGCTTGCAAAACCATGCAACTGGTGGTGTCCTTTATTCAGGGATTTCCCAAGACGGCTCGTTCAACCACATTCCCTTTCTGCAGGCAGGTTGGCAATGACGCATGTTTCTGGGGTTGTGGGACATCCCGGAAACTACCTCAGGCCAGTCGAATCTCAGCTCAGCATGTGCAGTTTTGGACAAAGTCAGCGCACATGGCAGTTAGCGAGTGAGCTTATCGTGTGCCAGCGTGACGCGCGTGAGCAGGTGTGCTTATCATGTGCCAGCCCAGCGTGGGTGCAGCTCTGATGATCGGGTGCGCTCATCATGTGCCAACGGCCGGTGCAACTCTGACGTGATGCGGGTGAGCCAATGTGCTTATCATGCGCCAGCTTTGACGCGATGCGCACGAGACATCAAACGAACTGGTTATCAAACGAACTGGTTATCAAACAAACTGATTCTATAACATCGAAGCACAGGCTACGAGGGTCACGTGCAACCCTGGGTCTCTGCTTTGAGCAACCCCGCGCACGCCTAAGGTTTCCAGACTGAAGGCAGTGTCATCTCGAAAAAGGCCAAAGTTTTCGCATTGAGATGGCCACTCAGTCGGTAGGCTAATTATATCACCAATACTTCTATGATGAGTATACCTATCGATCATTATTTGTGTTTGACATTGAAACAAACGATGAGTTTTAAAATCCGCCGACCCCTTTGCAAAAGCCAAGTTAGTCTCTGCAAAGGGGCGAGGCGTGTTCTAAGTGGTGGTTATACGGGGAGTCTGAGGGGGGAGGGCGGGTCCCGCGGCGGATTTTTGACACGCCTAACCCAACCCTAACCTCAAGCCAAACCTCGAACCCAAACCTCGAACCCTAACCTCTAACCCTAACCTCTAACCCCAACCTCTAACCCTAACCGGGATGGATGATGATGATGAAAGACTACGAGAAGCTGACAGAAGACTACGGGAAGATGACGGAAGACTGTGGGAATCTGTGGGAGATGACGGAAGACTACGGGAAGATGACGGAAGACTGCGGGAAGCTGCCGGGAAGATGACGGAAGAGTGCGGGAAGATGACGAGACTACGGGAAGATGACGGAAGACTACATGAACAGGACGGAAGACTACGGTGAAGATCATGGAAGCTGACGAAGACTGCAGGAAGATGACGGAAGACTACGTGCGGATGGATGATGATGATGATGATGATGATGAAAGACTACGGGAAGATGACGGAAGACTACGGTAAGATAACGGGAAGGTGACAGAAGACTACGGGAAGATGACGGAAGACTGTGGGAGATGACGGAAAACTACGGGAAGATGACGGAAGACTACGGGAAGCTGCCGGGAAGATGACGGAAGAGTGCGGGAAGATGACGGAAGACTACGGGAAGATGACGGAAACGAAGATGACGGAAGACCACGGTAAAGATCATGGAAGCTGACGGAAGACTACGAGAAGATGACGGAAGACTACGGGAAGCTGACGGGAAGATGACGGAAGACTGTGGGAAGATGACGGAAGACTACGGGAAGATGACGGAAGACTACGGGAAGCTGACGGGAAGATGCCGGAAGACTGCAGGAAGATGACGGAAGACTACGGGAAGATGACGGAAGACTACACCAAGATGACGGAAGACTACGGGAAGATTATGGAAGATGACGGAGGACTGCGGGAAGATGACGGAAGACTACGGGAAGATGACGGACAACTACGGGAAGATGACGGAAGACTACGGGAAGATGACGGGAAGCTGAAGACTATACGGGAAGATCGGAAGACTACGGGAACCCTAGGGATCGCAAATAGATTTTTTAGATTCCGAGGCAGGAATCCCTGCATATACGCATGCCTATCCATAACAATTGATTTTCTGAATATCTTTTTATAATAGATTCCCACAAGCAAACATGTATACAAAATAGATTCCGTATCTATTTTGGCATCGTATCTTCAAAACGTCTCGTATTCAAAAATAGTATCTATTTGCGTATCTATTAGTATCTAACCGTATCTATTTTCAGCACCGCGTATCTAAACTGCTTCAGAATGTGAGGAGTTGATCTTGCCTTCCAGGACATGGTTGCTGAAGGATGTAGTTGCAGGCTGCGTCAGCACTGTTCGAAAGCGCGTCAGCTTTGACAAGCTGCGGCCATTGCTGCTGTGACAGAGTTGGTCTGGCCATGATGACACAACAAATTCTGATAAGACTTCCCGGAAGTGGCTCAACCCAAGAAGCAGTCACAGACCCGAACACACTAGCAAGTCAGTTGAACTACATCTATTTGTTTATTTACAGCGTCAAAGTTTCTGCAAAGAAAGAAGAACCCCCAGCTCCCAAGCGTGCGCTTCTGTTTCGGCAATCACGCAGCGCGCTCCAGCACACCTAACCAAAGAAGCCGAAGCATAACTTGCAAATGCATTGAGTGTCCTAGCCCTTTACTTGCTTATTTTTGGCCTCGTCGGAGTACACCCAAAAAGTGCGAGGCACTCCGGATCGCAGAACTTGCTGCGGAAAGTGCTGAAAATAATGAAACTTAGGATATGCCGCAAACTGACAGCTTGCGTAGTGAAGCATGTGAACTGTGGCCAAAAGCCTCCACTCAAACACTTCGGCTTCAGTGAGGACGTCTTGCCGGGCCAGCAAACAGATGCGGCTCAGCGCCTGCATGCATTGGCTCCGGTGCTCCCCAAGTGTTCCCTCAGAGGCTTTGGCTGCTTCGGCAAGGTCAACCGTGAACTGTACAAGCGCGTTGGCTTGGCCAGCTTTGGCGCGTAGTTTGATACCCGGTTTGGACTTGAGCCACTTGAGTGTCATCTTTCGGACATTCAAACGGCTCTTGACTTGGTTCGCTTTGTAAAAACTGTGAAGCTTTTGCTTAAAAACTTGCAGCCCCCTCTCACGCTCGGAACCTTCCTGTTCGGAGGACTCAGCGGCCAGGGCGGGCAAGATGCTCCAGGTGACAATGGTCCAGCTGAAGTAGGGCGCTAGAGTGAGCTTTGAACAAACAAGGTCGGGCGGGTAGAATTACTACACTTGGCTCGAAGTCACATGCCACAAACCCTTCATATCTTGGTCAATTTGCCATGGACAGCCAGCGCCAAGTGGAAGAGTTCGCGCAAGCCCTGGCAGAGCTTCGGGTCTCGGAAGAGAATCGAGTTTAGAAAGCGCGGCCCAATCGCACTGATTGGCGCCTTCCTGTTAGGTTTCATTTACGCCCGGCCCAGCTATAAATTGGGACTCTTCCGGCGCCTCGCGTGATCTGATTATTCGTCTCTTGGTCGAGGGCCGTGGCCTTAGAGGCGACTGTCATCAGTTTCAAGTCAGTGGCGCGCGACATTACTGTCGCACGCTTGCTTCAAAACAGCAATCCGCTCAGCTGCAGGGTCTTAGCTGCTCAGCCAGATGCCTGCTGCACGTTTGCTGTTAGGTCTCTTGCAGCCGTTTTAAGCCGTCAAGCTGTGGGACATGAATTGTTGTCCAAGATGGGAACTGAAATTGGAATCGACCAATTGAAACAT